GGTAGCTGAGGGGAAAATCCATTCACAACAGCGGTAGCAGCAACAGGAACAATAAAAACATAAGATCCTTTAGATTCCTTCTTATTCCAAGCTGATGAATTCCTCAAGGGAAGTCCTTATTCATTATTATGCCCCTAAAAAAGTATCTGGCTCACAATAGGTCCTTCATAAATAAATGGGTATACATTTCCTTTTAATTTCCTTGAGATTAAGGAAGTGGTGATTGTCTATCGTTTAAAACATATTACCCTGGGAGCTACAATAACATTCAAGAGGTTGGTCATATGTCAGGTAGTTTTGATTATGTAACTGTTTATCCCAGAAAACTGTATTAGAAAACAGGAAGCACACAAAGAGAATATTCGTCAGTCACATTGCCACTGCTGTTTTTTCTTCTGTTGTCACTATCAGTGAAAAGGGGAGAAATGAATTGCTGCTCCATGACTGAGTCCCTGGGCGAGCATCCCAGGCTTCTCCCTTTCCTCTCTCCTACACTCTCTTTCTGCTCCACTCAACAGGATGCATTGCTGTGTTCCCAAATTACCTGCTTTTCTGAAGATCCTCATTCATTTGCAAGATTATCTTGGTTGCTGTAATTGTGGGAAACATAATTCTGTACAGCCTGACCACTTTAGATTTTAAATTTTAGTGGCGGCTTTAGCTCCTGAGTAAAACTGAGTCAAGCATCCCTTCTCTGGGATTCCGGAATGAGGAAAGAGAGAAGGGAGGGAAGGAATGAGGGCAGGGAAAGGAGAGAGGGAGAGAGAGAGGAGGGAGAGAGAGAGAGGGAGAGAGAGGAAGGAAGAAGGAAGGAAGGAAGGAAGGAAGGAAGGAAGGAAGGAAGGAAGGAAGGTGTGTGTGTCTGTCTGCCTGCTGAAATAGAAAGGCTGTTCTGTTGGAAGAGAATAATGATGTGCAGAGAGCAACGTACTCATGAGATAGAGCAGGAGTTCCAACAGTATTCAAGTGTTTGACTACGATTATATGATTATTCCCGGGATGCAGACATATTCCTTTCTTTAGTTCTGGGGGACGCCTCCATGTTTTTTAATAAAGATTCAAATTGGATTTCTGTCACTTGTGAGCAGAGTCTTGGATAATACACTTGAACTGTCACTTGGAGAAAATTACACTTAACTCACAAGGCTATTCTATTCAGCTGAGGGAGTCTATAAATAGATTAGAAAAACAGCCAGGGAAATCAGAGATGTTTTGGATTTTGAAGAGACCTTCAAGAGCCAGAGTCTGGAGAGATAAAATGATTTGGCCAATTACCAACATCAGTTTGCCAAATAGTCTGGTTCTTAATGCTCTTTACTCTTTATTGCATCGCTCAATTTCTTGTTTCATTTCCTTTCAGTCAGCTAGCTCATTCTTTGGTCCTGTGTCTTTGGCCCACTGTTGTTCTGCTGATTCTCACATACATTTCACATATTCCGTTTCTTTGGCCCTGCATTCCACCATTAGTATCAGGTTAAAATTACTTTCTTAGTGTACCCTGTACTCAGGCATAACAGTTCTCTAATTGCTCTCTCTTCTTTACTGGGTGAAAGTCACCTTAATAAGCTTCCACAAAGGGAATTACCAATCTGCAATAGCTGCATTAGTTTGGCCTTAGAACTGTGACCACAGAGCAAGGCAAGATAGGAGAAATATGCTCAATATAATGAGATACCATTTAAATATTTATAGGTGTCATGGCTCTGCTGGTAGAAAGAATATAAAAACAATTTAAAAGTAGAATGAAACCTTATGTAGATTCACTGAATATCAATTGACCTGGGTGGATCCTGCAAACCCCAATCAGACTACAAAATTAGGTAATATGACATGTAAATCCAAGGCTCTCGGACAGCAAGGCAGCACACATTTGAAAGGCATGAAACTGGAACCCTTGGAGGTCTAGACTTGGCTTAGCATTGGCGGAACGGGTCTAATCATGAAAAAATATCTTGCATATTTGCAGTCCATATCCCATGTATGGGCTGAATTATGTATCCCTCCAAAATTCATGGTCAAGGTCCTATCCCCCAGGCCCTCAGAATGTGACTGTACTTTGAGACAGAGCCTTTTAAAGACTTAAGTAAGTTAAAATGAGGTCACTGGGTGGACTCTAACCCAATCTGGTTTTCTCATAAGAAGTTCTGATACCTGGAAAGACACCAGAGACACCTGCACAGAGGAAAGATCACTCGAAGAAATAGCAAGAAGGCTGCCATCTGCAAGTAAGGAGAGGGGTCTCAAAAAAAAAAATCAGACTTGCTGACACCTTGATCTTGGTTCCAGTCTCCAGAACTTTCAGAAAATAAATTTCTGTTTTTGCAGGCACCCTGTCTGTGGTATTTTGTTATGGAGGCCCTAGCAAATGAATATATCCCATAATCCAACTCAAATCCCCATTCAGTATTTACTATCCATAAATTCAGTCCAGAAGCTAATGATTTTTTAGTGTCTTAAACCTTGGGATTAACTATAGGAATAATCTGTAAATATATACAGTATTTTAAATATTTTAAATACCTACACTTAAAAATATTTAAAATAGTTAAAACATTTATGAAAAACTGCCATATACTCTTCCAATTTAAAATGTGATAGTTGAATAATTAGTTCAGACATGATTGTCAATTAAAATTTTATAAATTCATAAACCATACTGAAACTTTTAAGAGAACACGAGTCTTTGTATTTATACATTTAAATTCTTAAATTTATAAGAGTTATTTAAATGTATATGAACGCTTATTTGCTAGTTAAAATTTTGAAATAATTAGAAAATTGAATGTAATGAAGATCACAAAATTTAAAATGTTTAAAGAAATGTAGTTAATTAAACTATAAAAGAACTCATAAAAATGATAGTAAAAATTTTATCAAATCTAGAACAATAAAATTTATAGAAATACTTAGAATATAGAGTTTTGAAATTATAAATATAATAAATCAAATATTTTTTATTTCAGAACAATCACAGAATTACAAAAAAATTGCAAGTACAGCACAAAGACCTCCCCCACCACTGAAATATTTACAATTTGCTGACATGATGCCCCTTGACTCCCAAACACTTTAGTGTAATTTCCCACAATCAAGGACATTTTCTAATATAACCACAACATAATCATCAAGATCAGGACATAAACATTTTTACATTACCACCATCTAATCTTCAAAAACGACTCAATTTTCACCAGATGTTCCCAGATTCCCTTTATAGGATAAGGATATAACTCAGAATCATGTGTTGCATTTGATTATCATGTCTCTCTAGTCTCCTTCAGTCTGAAACAGTTTTTCAGTCTTCTATTTTCAAGATCTTGACACCTTGAAGATCTCAGGACAGTTATTTTGCATAATGTGCATGGATTTGTTTTTTTCTGAGTTTTCTCTTGATTATATTCAGGTTATGCAACTTTGGCAGGATTATTACAAAAGTGATGATGAGTTACTCTGTTGCATATTATTTGGTGGGGAACAAATTCAGTTTGCTTCATTACTAAACATATTCTCTTTGATCACTTGTTGAAAGTGGTATCTTCCAGTTTTTTCCATTATTCCCTCTGTAACGAATACATATTTTCTGGGAGATACTATGTAAATATCCCATTCCTCAGCAAACTTTCCATTTATTCATTTATGTAGATGAGTATGGGCTCATGGTTTCCTACTTTCTGCCTGTGGTTTTCATTATTTATTTTGATGCCCAAACTGTCTCAGGTTTGGCCAGTAGGAACTTTTCCAATGTGGATTCAGTGTCCTTTTGATAAATCCCTTTCATTTTTCAAGAACTTCTTTGCTTTCTGGCACAAAAAGATGTTCTAGACTCATGTATTTTCCCTGTCTCAGCCCTGGAATCAGTCATTTTCCCAAGGATGCCTGCTTCCTTTTGGTAGAAAGTGGTGGTGAGAAACCAAGATCTGGGTGTGATGTGAACTCATTGATATTGGGTGTTGCTGTTTTGAGGCCCTCTTATTGAACAGGGCAAGGGCAGATGCATGCATAAAACATTAACACATATTCTGTATTTGTTGTATATATTGAAAATGGTGAGATCACACCAAATACATCCAATTCTAACTTAATACCACTCTACTCATCTTGAGTGGAATCTCCAATCTCATGCCAGGCCATCACCTCCCCTGTGAATACACCCTTCTCACCCCACTGGAACTCTGATGTCCTGCTCTGGGCTTTCCCACTCCCACACATTGAGCAGACTTCCACCTTGCTTGGCCCCAACCAAATGCCTTAGTACTGGATTGTTTAGAAAGAGAAGAGAAGAGAATAGGAATAAGAGGAAGAACCGAATATTAATTTTTAAATCACAGGTGACCTCTTGAATAATTTCTGCACAAAAGTCACCTGCAGGGGCACATGAGGAAAACATGTTCTTCCCTAATGAAGTCCTCACTTCTCTAAAATCTTTTGGTTTCTCTTAGATTTCATTTTCTCAGCTTCATGGTCATGGCATTCATATTGTCCAGGCACATAAACATATTAAACACTTCATTTTATACATCATCTCATGGGACATTTCAGATTTTATTTTCTCATATAGAGCTATTGAAAATCTTGTATTTATATCTTCTTACTCTTGTTCTTCAATTTCAGACTTCTTATCACTATTCAACAAATTTAGTAGATAGCACTGCCACATGGTATAGATTTCGGTCCCTTATATTTGGCAATAGTAAGACGTGGAACATTTTTGTTTTGGAAAATCTGAGCTTCAAAATAAGTAGCGAGAAGATTCTCTCCCATGAACTGTTGCAATCAGCTTCAGCATTTAATGGGAAAATTTTAGAAAAACCTCAAGTCAGATTAAGATCTGTACCACACAAAGACAGTCACGATTATGGTTTTCTTTCTGATTTCTTTATCAACTTTATTATTCTAATTTGGCTTCCATCTACAGACTCATTTATTTTCTAAGTTGCTTCGGGTTATAGAATTCATTCAAATTTAGCAAGTCATCAGGGGACCACGTAACATGTTGGTACTTAAGTCTTTCTTCTGGAAATGTGGTCAAAAATGACAGCTTGAATGTAGAGTTCTGTCTGGATAGGGGTTCTAGTAGAGTTGTCACCTGGGGAAACCTAAAATACATAAATCATATCATTAATCAGTCGAGTACATCATGCAAATGATTGGCATCAAATGAATTTTCTTCTTGCTTCAATATTATAGAAATAGAACAAAAAAATGCCATGGCCAGGAAGACATTTTCATGTTTCCCCTCAGGTTCTTTTTCTTAAGAGTAGTGATAACTCCAGTCAGAAGCTTTGAAGCTCTTGTTTATGACATTACTGAAAATATCTAGGGTCAAAACTGTCCCAGGCTCATGCTAAACCCCATGGGTCACTAACTCTGCAGAATTTTCAGGGGAGGACTTCATAAACACGTGTGATCACAGGTTAATAAATCTAAAAGAATTCTATCATAAGTTCAAGTTTGTCCAATAAAAAATGAACTTGAGTTTGGAATTGATGATGTCCATGGTGGGTTTCATTAAAAGCTTCTCATCAGTTTAAAAACTATTTGAACTGCTTTTTCCTCCCTTCAAATAATAATCTGTGAAAAAAGATTTGCTCCTTTTACTTTTATTCAGGATAATCTATCATACTTCAAGGCTCCTGGGGAGCTCCCGTGGGAACAAGTATTCACTAATGTGGTATTGATAAGCGAGAAGAGAGAGATTCTAAAAGAGTTGGTAATATCTACAGTTGGAAAATATTATTCGATGCACAAAAGAATGAAGTTACTTGCTCTCTCTCCTTCTTTTAGGAAGAGATGATAAGACATTTAGATGTGGGACTAGAGGAAAGCTTTGGTCTTGCCTTGTCCCCATGGTATTAATTTCTTGCTAGCGAGAAAATATAATTTATTTTATCTTTTATTAAGTAGAGTCAGCAAAACTGTAAAGACTGAAATGGGTAAACAAAAATAGTGGGTGTCCTGAGTGACTCACCCATCCAAGTTTTTTCTGCCTTTCACGGTTTTTATGCTATTTTACAACTCTTTAAGTTGTGGAAAACTTGATAATAATGCAAAATATTCTTGTCAAAAAGATGCAAATTAATTGTACACAGTAGAATTCAATTAATTATTGCCTTGCATTGAGATCTACTCTGCATCTATTTGTAAATTAATTTCAATTTTTCTTATTCCGTATATATGTTTTGCTTTTAGAATTCTCCTTTGAATTGTTTGTACCATCTTACTGGTTCCCTCTATAATTAGTGAATTCAATAAAATAGTTGGTACATTCATTTCATATCTGTATGAGAGTCATATCCTTTTACGAAAAATTATCTTGTGCACAATTATCTTGTGCACAATTATCTTGTAGTAAACTATGATGCCTCATGGATTCACCTGATGCCTGAGGAACCTGTGTTGTTGTCGGAGTGTTGTACCTCATGTATGACATAAACCAGGGCATTTCTTGGCTCCAAGAGGTAAATTCTCTGTTGTCACAGAACTTTCACTTTGCCTATCCTCTGTTGTTTTTTTGCATATTTTCCACTTTACTACTTTTGTGTTTTGTTTTTGTTTTTGGAATTTTATAATCAATAAATTATTCCCCATTGGTAATAGTAATTTGGTTTTGTGGTCAAAATTTTGTGATCTCTGTAAATGGAGTAATAAGATTATAGAGATTTATTCTTTCTTGGATGGAAGACAACAGAGAATCTGCTTTGTTAGTATTTTATTTTCTTTGTGTATTTGTCTATTTTGAGCTCAAATTAAGAATCTTGTGCTTATCAGGAAAGGAAACAACTTTTTGATATATAGTCTGATAATTTTTTTGTGTTTACTTTTGGCCTGTGGCTAACGTTTAAAATTCCAGGAAAATGAGGAAATCAAAATTTTGATATTTGATATGTGCTATACTTAAAAAGTTACTCTTATAGGGGTGCATGGATAGCACAGTAGGTTGGGTGTCTTACTCTTGGTTTTGGCTTAGGTTTTGATCTCAGGGTGATGAGATCGAGCCCTGTGTCAGGCTCTGAGCTCAGCGTGGAGTCTGCTTGGGATTCTCACTGCCTCTCCCTCTGCCCCTCCCCACCCGTGCATGCTCTCTGAAATAAATAAATCTTTTTAAAAACGTTATTCTTATAGAAACTCAGAAATGTTTTGAACATTTAAGTTCATGTAATTAAGGTAAAGTTTTGGTAAATCAGACTAGTGTATTTTATAGTTTTCTGAGTACAGATTCTTTGCCTCTTTGGTTAGATTTATTCCTAGGTATCTTATGGTTTTGGGTGCAATTGTAAATGGGATCGACTCCTTGATTTCTCTTTCTTCTGTCTTGTTGTTGGTGTATAGAAATGCAACTGATTTCTGTGCATTGATTTTATATCCTGCCACTTTACTGAATTCCTGTATGAGTTCTAGCAGTTTTGGGGTGGAGTCCTTCGGGTTTTCCATATAAAGTATCATATCATCTGCAAAGAGTGAGAGTTTGACTTCTTCTTTGCTGATTTGGATGCCCTTTATTTCTTTTTGTTGTCTGATTGCTGTGGCTAGGACTTCTAGTACTATGTTGAATAGCAGGGTGATAGTGGACATCCCTGCCATGTTCCTGACCTTAGAGGGAAAGCTCTCAGTTTTTCCCCATTGAGAAGGAAAAATGTTCCATGCTCATGGATTGGAAGAACAACTATTGTGAAGATGTCAATGCTACCTAGAACAATCTACACATTTAATGCAATCCCTATCAAAATACCATCCACCTTTTTCAAAGAAATGGAACAAATAATCCTAAAATTTGTATGGAACTAGAAAAGCCCCCGAATAGCCAGAGGAATGTTGAAAAAGCAAAGCAAAGCTGGTGGCATCACAATTTGGGACTTCAAGCTCTATTACAAAGCTGTAATCATCAAGACAGTATGGGACTGGCACAAAAACAGACACATAGATCAATGGAACAGAACAGAGAGCCCAGAAATGGACCCTCAACTCTATGGTCAACTAATCTTCAACAAAGCAGGAAAGAATGTCCAATGGCAAAAAGACAGTCTCTTCAACAAATGGTGTTGGGAAAATTGGACAGCCATATGCAGAAGAATGAAACTGGACCATTTCCTTACACCACACACAAAAATAGACTCAAAATGGATGAAAGACCTAAATGTGAGACAGGAGTCCATCAAAATCCTAAAGGAGAACACAGGCAGCAACCTTTCCGACCTCAGCCACAGCAACTTCTTCCTAGAAACATCGCCAAAGGCAAGAGAAGCAAGAGCAAAAATTAACTATTGGGACTTCATCAAGATAAAAAGCTTTTGCACAGCAAAGGAAACAATCAACAAAACCAAAAGACAACCGACAGAATGGGAGAAAATATTTGCAAATGACATATCAGATAAAGGGCCAGTATCCAAAAGCTATAAAGAACTTCTCAAACTCAACACCCAAAGAACAAATAATCCAATCAAGAAATGGGCAGAGGACATGAACAGATATTTTTCCAAAGAAGACATCCAAATGGCCAACAGACACATGAAAAAGTGCTCACCATTGCTCGGCATCAGGGAAATCCAAATCAAAACCTCAATGAGATACCACCTCACACCAGTCAGAATGGCTAAAATTAACAAGTCAGGAAATGACAGATGTTGGCAAGGATGCAGAGAAAGGGGAACCCTCCTACGCTGTTGGTGGGAATGCAAGCTGGTGCAGCCACTCTGGAAAACAGTATGGAGGTTCTTCAAAAAGTTGAAAATAGAGCTACCCTATGACCCAGCAATTGCACTACTGAGTATTTACCCCAAAGATACAAATGTAGTGATCCAAAGGGGTATGTGCACCCCAATGTTTATAGCAGCAATGTCCACAATAGCCAAACTATTGAAAGAGCCAAGATGTCCATCGACAGATGAAGGGATATTATGTAGCCATCTAAAAAACCCCAAAATCTTGCCATTTGCAATGACGTGGATGGAACTAGAGGGTATTAGGCTAAGCGAACTAAGTCAATCCAAGAAAGACATGTATCATATGACCTCAGTGATATGAGGAATTCTTAATCTCAGGAAACAAACTGAGGGTTACGGGAGTGGTGGGGGGTGGGAGGGATGGGTTGGCTGGGTGATAGACATTGGGGAGGGTAGGTGCTATGGTGAGCACTGTGAATTGTGTAAGACTGCTGAATCATAGACCTGTACCTCTGAAACAAATAATACATTATATGTTAAAAAAAAAAAAGAAGAAGAAGATAGCAGGAGGGGAAGAATGAAGGGGAGAAACTCGGAGGGGGAGACGAACCATGAGAGACTATGGACTCTGAGAAACAAACTGAGGGTTCTAGAAGGGAGGGGGTGGGGAGGTGGGTTAGCCTGGTGTTGGGTATTAAAGAGGGCATATATTGAATGGAGCACTGGGTGTTATATGCAAACAATGAATCATGGAACAGTACATCAAAAACTAATGATGTACAAAAACTAATGATGTATGGTGATTAACATAACATAAAATTTAAAAAAAAGACTAGTGTAATCATCTTGGTTTAATAAAAATGGCTTGTAGTGTGATTTATCAGTGTTAGGTATAATACAAGCACATATTTTATTCTACTTGGGTTTGCTTTTCTTAAATTTATTCAAGAATACTGATCAAATAAGCTAACATTACTCCTACACAATATTTAAGACAATGAAAAATATAAATTTGTATTCAACAAAATCAGATCATTATTCTGATAACTTTATTTCAATAGTAGTTATGTTTTATTTTTAATATGTCAGCTTGAATATAAGTCCTAAGGTCTTTAGGTAACATAAAGCCTTAGGACTGCTATTAGGTTGAATTATATAATGAATATTCATTTGATATCTAGATAATTTCTGACTAAGATAGAATATTGGCCATTTAATGCCTAATTATAATGCATAATTTTAAATTTATATACTTTTGCTTATATTCCATGAAACATTCCTATCTTTGGATCATGTTAATGCACCGGTTCATTTTGTCTCTTTAAAAAGGTATGTGTGTGGCTGGAGAAAGGTGCAAGATAAACTTTGCTATTCTGTTAAAATGCTTTTGGAAGACAGGCAATTGTTAATTTTCTACCTCTAGTTTTCTCACTGAA